AGAGATGAGGTGAGGAATTCGTGCCTTAACTATGGTGACGGGGATTGTTGATGAGGGTGCGGCCACGCTCATATGAAAGAGGGATGGACGTCTGCAGTAATCTGGATTCCGGGGTTGTTATGCTGCACCGACGTGGGACATCCAGGGCAGGGATGCCGGGAGACGGTTGGGCTTGGTACTTGGTATTTAGGGATCATGAGAAACAGCGGCGATTAAATCCATGTATAATCTGTACTGTATCCGTGAGATAGAGACAATGAAACACCAATTGACAGAAGCTGTATGGCCTCTTTTTTCCCGCGTGGGATACGGAGTGCAGAGGCAGTAAGTTAGATCAATGCAAGTAACCAGTTAAACAGAGTTGTTTACATGTTATATGTTACTCAGGGGTTTGTCTGCGGAAACAGACAGGTTGGTTTCGTAGTTACAACAAGGAAAACCTGGACAAGGTCTATCACCGCAACAGCAACAGTTGGATACTACGCAGTGCATACAGATCTGGAGCACGAAGCAGGTTTGTCATCCGACTTGTGCATATTCAAATATTCGGCTCACATTCCGTTCTGTTATTTTCTTCTTTCTCTGCCCTCTGTTGAATCGAGGTGTTCAACCCCAGAAGTCGACACTGATGAGCCCAAATGCAAGGCCCATAAGCAAACGCCACTGTTTCATCTTCTCTCGCAAGACGGCGTGACTGGCTACGCAGTGATCTCGGGCCCAGCGCGGGCTTCTCGGGCCCAGCGCGGGCTTCTGGAAGCCTGTGGAGGTAGTTAACCCTGTGGAGAAGCGTAGCTGGTGATCGTGTCAGGAGAGGCCCCTGGCTGGGGAATAATCTGTGAGTTACTCTCTCGACCTATGGATTTCAAGACCCATTGTCATTTTCATCCCGTTCTTTTCTTTTCTCTCCTCGCAATCACATTTTCAATTCCCACAAGTCCGCGTTACACTATTCCATCCAATATTTCAAAATCCTGTGCTCCCTTTCCTCTCGATAGGTGATCTAAGCAGCAAAGGAAAAATGCTCCAAACAACAACGAGAGTATGGGACTCGGTGGACAATACGGAGTATACACATTTACTAATAAAGTCGATGGCCCTCTCGCTGCCAGGTTCATTGTTTGTGCGCGCTGTGTTCGCGGAACCCATTAGTTATTGGATAATCTACTTTGTATTACGAGAAATAGATAGAACAAACGAGTTCTTGTTCAATAAATTCCCGTATAGTAACTAGTAAAGTAGCTGGACGGACTAAGAGCAAAATAGCGGCGGAGAAAATCTAGAAAGTTTCATACTCATGCTTCTTGTTTCTAAGACTCTACTACTATTTTTTACAAAAGCAGAATATCGGGAGGAGAGAGAAGTAATTTTTGTGCTTTGTTTTCATCTTTTTGTTGCTGCTTCCTCCCTTGCCATAGTTATATCCCGTTATTGTCGCCTTTTATGTTCACTTTTTTTCCCCTTTCTTTCTTCTCCCTTTTTTCATGGTATACATACGTAGTTTTTGGAATGGAAAAGATGACTGACATATGGCATAATAACAATATTTATTATCACAACGTCCTGTTTTTTAAAAATAATAACAGTCAGTTCAGATCATTTTATTCTCTCCAACTTCCTTTTTCTCATTCGAATTATACGGCTTTAACGCCTGCAGGGCTAGTTGGGGGTAGAAAAATGGACAGGGGACAGGGTTAGACAGACCCTAGATAATCCTCCTTGATACTTCCAATCGCAAACATATTGCGCACATCATTTCGCAACCCAATCAGTTTGATGCGCAGATTGGTCCCCTTCTCAATAACCTGTTCTCCATTATCAGTATATTGCGGCGGAGTCGCGTCAGGGTCCCATTTGATTTCGGGGGGAATCAACTGTTACTCGGGACAAGAAAATGGAATTCGTCCGTCAGTTAAATTAACCCAAAGCGTATACAATTCAACCAGCCCGCCAAATCCACGGGAACATAAACCACGAATACTCAGCGACAACAGGTAAGTATGAGAAAGAACATACATGTTTCGACACGAAGACCGTCAGCGGGCCAACCTCTGCAAATATCCCTTGATTCTTAACAGATGTCACGATAGCATCGACCTTTACATATCGCCACGATCACAGGTTGGTGTCCTGGTTAGCATGCCCGTACGTAAACGGCCCATCCAGGACCAACAAAACAAACACACGCGGAAAAATTAATACATACCGTCTCCCCCTTAAAAGGCTTCCACACAATAGCCCTGTACATGATAGTATACTCCGCCAATCCGCTACCAGGCAGTACTCTTCCCTCCGAAATATCATATGTATCCATCACGCAGACGATATAATAGTCGCCCGTGCACACGCCCTCCACGTCATCTAGCAGCTTCTGCGTCAGGTATTCCTTCACGTGTGAGCCGAAGAAGGTTGGGTGGAGGGTGAGGACGTGTTCGAGGAAGTGGATAAAAAACATCGTGAGTGAAAAAGTCCGGCCGGTGGAAGAAACAACAGAAAGACGAAAAGTAAACCGTGCGCCGTGCTTTCGCGCTCCCTTTCCCAGTCCCTATATATAGAGATTGGAAAGGAAAAAAAAAAAAAAAAAGCGAACACGATCCTTTGCAGGCAATGGATTGCTCGGTCTTTGAAACGGGAAGATGCGCTGATTCGATGCTTTGTCCGTTAATGATCCCCCGCAGCCCCACGTCGTGCGTGCGCAAAAATCCAATCCCCGCCCCTCCAAAACCTACAGGAATGGCCCTCCGAGCGAAGGGGCTTTGCGCGCAAACAAGCCCCGGCGACGTCGTGTGTGATTCTTAGCGTACCATGACCGACGGAACTGTTGCGGTTGCTTGCCTACTCTTCTTATCCTTTCTTATTTTCCGCCAGGCGGGTGGGTCGTGCGAACCAGCAGCAAATTTGCTTTATAAGAAGAAAAGCGAAAACCTCCCTATTTCTAGTAACTAAGTAAACGAGAGACGAGAAGGGAAAGCTGTATATTGGTAAAATTGGAAGAGCAGACTAAGCAGGACCTCTGCCAAATAGCCCACGGGCGCGTTGTGGGGGGGAAGTGATCCGTAAGAGATCGCGAAGGGATAAGGCTGAAAAGGGAGAGGGAAGAGAAAGTAGGAGAGACGGGGAGGAGAGATTGAGAGATTGATTGCTGGCTCCTGGCTGCAGAAGCTTGATATTGCTGGGAGACGAGGCGGCTAGGTAGGTACTGAATTATATCACGTGATAGCAAATGGGTCACCTGAGAAATACCTAGACGGGATTTTTATGGACTTTGAACTACAATGTCCAGAGTATGCAAATTGAATAGTTTGAACTTCATTCTAAAAACACTTGCAAGACGTGTGAATACCAAGTGAATGTGCATCTGATCAAGGCCCACATATGTGAACATGAAAAATTCCTAGGAAAACGGAGATGATTCCTGTTTATTTTGTCGACCTGCTCAATGTGGACTCGCTTTCTCAATATGAATCCAGTAAATTTGAATTCCTTATCTATATCGCTTTCTTTTAATACTCCCGCTTAAATCTCTGCAATAATATATGAGGATAGGAAAAATTTAAAATGAGTAATTTTGAAGTATCTGAACAAAGACTATATGGACAAAGATACTAGAATGAAATATGGAAATTACTTTCCTACCCGGCCTGCCGCCTAACTGGCTACGAGGTTGATTGATAGAAATTTGTACATCTTTCATATGGAGTATACATACAGCTCTTAGTTATATGAATAACTATACTACCATACAATGGATCTGTGGTGCCCAGAAAGCTCAGATAGCAAAGCAGGGTTGAGTGATGACCCAATGATGATCACATGGAATTGGGCGATTGGATCGCTTTGCCCTAAGTCGCCAGTTGCCGAGAATATCTGGGGCAACATCCGGGGAATGACAACACCAGACTGACAGCCACCAGAGGGGCGGAATAAAATTCAGGTCAAAGCTGAATACAGCGCATAGATATTGATTGATCCTTATGCTCTGTGCTGAGACTGGTATCGATATACCCAATATACCCACCCCATTCCCTCCATCGAATTGTCGATCAACCGCCTATTTGCCGCCCAATTTCCCGTATACCAGGTACATGTACGTGCACCGCAATTACATGCGTGACTACTCCTCCAGCTCTGTATAGACGCGCAATTCGGATAGCAGCAGCCATGGCGCTCAACCTCGAAAAGCAGTTTACCTTTGTACGTTGTTGTAACCATATAAATCTAGTTAAATTCTCTTTGACCCATAGCGACGAAACTGACCGTTCCTGAATAGTATGGTGCCTACCACCATAATCCAGTAAGGGATCTCCGGCAAAACCGACCCTCTGTCTAGATCCTATATACTAAATCATGCCCTCTCTATCCGTCCTAACACATCTCGATTAATTATACAGGTGAACGTAGCAATCCATATCGTATTTGTCCCGGTGATAATGCTCTGCATGTTCCAGCTGGTACCTCTCCCATTCTCCCATTCCCCAATTCGCTTCCTATCAGCAGGATAGATGCAAGCCTAACAGGAAAACACCAGGCCACAAACACAGGGCCCCTCATCTCTCTCCCGGACTCCTTATCCATCAAAACCTTCCCCCCAAACCTCGGAACCATGGCCTGTCTCCTCTACACAACCCTCTACATCCTCATGGAGCCCGTAGCTGGCACCCTTCTTGCCCCGCTACTGGTCAGTGGCACCGTTTTCGTCAACCACCTCACAGTCACCTACGGTTCCATAGCGACATATTGGGGTCTAGGCATCCAGGCAGTCGCGTGGGTAGCGCAGTTTGTCGGGCATGGCGCGTTCGAAAAGAGAGCGCCCGCGTTGCTGGATAATTTGATGCAAGCGTTTTTCTTCGCGCCGTTCTTTGTGTGGCTTGAAATGCTGTTTTCGCTTGGGTACCGGCCGCAGCTAAAGGCGAGGATTAATCGTGCGGTTCTGAAGGAGATTGCGAAGTTTAAGGAGGCGAAAGGGAAGAATTAGGTAAGTATTGGGATTTCCTCGGTTCCCACGCTCTATATACTCTCCTCCATGCCTCTCTTTCTCTCTCTGTTTTTTCTTTGGTTTTAAGCGACTGGCTCGAGCTGTGTGTGCTCTTTTTATGGCTGGGCTTCTGTCATCTGTATATACCCAGGGTCAAGAGGGGGTTTTATGGGAAGCAAAGTGTGGTACGGTATTGTGATGATTGATACGGTGTGAGGACGATTGGAAAGAAACGGGTCACATTGAGTCAATGCTTTCGTATCCATATTCTTCGGAAGGGTATTGTTTCTTCCATCCGCGACTCCCGAACATTGTCTGTTCTCCTCTCCATGATAATACTTCCATCATTATGATTATTCATCTGCATTGGACGATTTACACGACGGATCATGTGTCAAATGGGCGTTAATTGATATCTCTTTTATAGCCTAGTATATGTTATTGCCATTGATGTTTGCAGTTGCAAAATATAATTACTTATTATTGTCCGAATATGAATTCCAATATCCTCTTCTTTCCTTGGACCGTTGAATCCTGTGGGTCTGTGGATTACTCCTCAACTCTGCAAAAATTGTAGACTGTACCCTTTAACCAGGCCACCACTTTTCTCATCCCGCAAGGTGTGGTCTTGAGTCACGAAATTAAGATCATCGATTCAGCTTCTTGTTCTTCGACATATTGCCTGGCCTGACATCCTTTTCACCAAGTATGTTCATGCCCCTTTTTTGATCAAAAATACAAACATAGATTGTATTGAATGAATCTAAGAACAGTTACTATCGGATGCTTGAGCAAGCACAGGCTGCGCAGTGATTACAGCTGAGTGCCCAGGTGTGATTTCGTATATAAAAATTGACATTAATCTGGTAATACATGGAAAGGCTCGCTGTCTGATGAGGCTTGGCAATATATTGGCTAGTCCCTTTTCGTCCAACCTTCTCGCAACCTGAAAGCTCGCTCCTTTCCCCCATCCACATTATCCGCTCTTTTCCTCTCCCACTCCACAACCCCCAATTGATCTCCCTCCCCATCTGTTTCCATCTCTTCTCTCTCCAGACCCCTTCCCTCACAATGTTCAGAAACGCCCTGCGGCAGTCCAGCCGCTCTGTCGCGGCTGTCTCTGCCTCTGGCAGGATTGTTGGTGTAAGCCATCCCTCCCGCTTCCATTTTCCCAATCCAACCCCAGCCCCTTCCGCCGCTTTTATCGCATCCATCCACCAGATCCCATCTACTTCGCCCTCGATATTGATGTCGATGGCCTCTGTGAACTCAATTGACCCCATTACATCTCCTTTGAGTCGCGTCTGCTTTGTTTACCACCCCGCTGACAAATTTTTCTCACTTTCGAAATCAGGCTCGAGCTGCTGCTCCAGGACCACTTTCGGCCGCTTCACAGATCCGGACATACGCTGCTGAGGCCAAGGCTTCCCCTACCGAAATATCCTCTGCCCTCGAACGGAAAATTCGTGGTATTCAAGAAGAAGCCGGCTTTGCTGAAACTGGTCGTGTCCTCTCCGTTGGGTACGCCATAATCTCTCACCAACCAAACCAACATGATGGTCACAAAATCATACATTACGGCCATATAAATACGGTATATAATGATTCTAACTAGCTGGACAATAGTGACGGTATTGCTCGTGTCCATGGCATGACCAATGTCCAGGCTGAGGAACTCGTTGAGTATGTTCCGTCTAACCATAAATATCCATATAATGCGAATAAATATACTTAAGGCAAAAACTTTTAGGTTTGCCTCTGGCGTCAAGGGCATGTGCATGAACTTGGAAGCCGGCCAAGTCGGTGTTGTGCTTTTCGGCTCTGATCGTCTTGTCAAAGAAGGCGAAACTGTCAAGCGAACTGGCGAGATTGTGTGTACAGAAAATTCCTCGTCATCAACTTGGTGTTTTATATTTCTAACCCTTCCCTCTCAGGTTGATGTCCCCGTTGGCCCCGAGCTTTTGGGTCGTGTCATTGATGCTCTGGGTAACCCCATTGACGGAAAAGGCCCAATTAAGGCCAAGGAGAAGCGCCGTGCCCAGCTCAAAGCTCCCGGCATTCTGCCTCGTCGCTCCGTCAACCAGCCTGTCCAGACCGGTCTCAAGTGTGTCGACTCTATGGTCCCCATTGGCCGTGGTCAGCGTGAGTTGATCATTGGAGATCGTCAAACCGGAAAAACTGCCGTCGCTCTTGATGCCATGTTGAACCAGAAGAGATGGAATGACACGAATGATGAGAGCAAGAAGCTGTACTGTGTTTACGTTGCTGTTGGACAGAAGCGTTCCACTGTCGCCCAGCTCGTCAAGACCCTTGAGGAGAACGATGCCATGAAATACTCCATCGTCGTTGCCGCCACTGCCTCTGAGGCCGCTCCTCTTCAATATATCGCTCCATTCACCGGTAAGTCTTAATCCCCACCACCCTGTTTTTTCCTTTGCTTTTCCCCTTATTCTCTCTCTCTTTTAGTTCATGTTCTAATTACTGTTTTCGTTTCAAAAGGCTGTGCTGTAGGAGAATGGTTTCGTGATAATGGACGCCACGCTCTCATCACTTATGACGATCTGTCTAAGCAGGCCGTTGCCTACCGTCAAATGTCCCTTCTTCTCCGTCGTCCCCCAGGGCGTGAGGCTTACCCCGGAGAGTATGTATCAAACAACCCTTTGTAGGATTCACACACACATGTCTGACTGGCCTGTTTCTAGTGTCTTCTACCTCCACTCTCGACTTCTCGAGCGTGCTGCCAAGTTGAATGACAACCACAAGGGTGGCTCCCTCACTGCCCTCCCCATCATTGAAACCCAGGGTGGTGATGTTTCTGCCTACATTCCCACTAACGTCATTTCAATTACCGACGGCCAGATTTTCTTGGAGGCCGAATTGTTCTACAAGGGTATCCGACCAGCCATTAACGTCGGTTTGTCTGTGTCTCGTGTCGGTTCTGCCGCCCAGCTCAAGGCCATGAAACAAGTCGCCGGTTCGCTCAAACTGTTCTTGGCTCAGTATCGTGAGGTTGCAGCCTTCGCCCAGTTCGGTTCCGACTTGGATGCTTCCACCAAGCAGACTCTCAACCGTGGTGAGCGCCTGACCGAGCTGCTTAAACAGAAGCAATACAGCCCCATGGCTGTCAACGAAATGGTTCCACTCATTTTCGCTGGTGTCAACGGCCACCTCGACTCCATCCCCGTCAGCAAGATTCAGCAATGGGAGACTGATTTCCTTGCTCACCTCAAAACCAACGAGTCTGAGCTTCTTCAATCGATTGAGAAGGAGGGTCAATTGAGCAAGGAGCTAGAGGCTCAGTTGAAGGAAGTCACAGTTGCCTTCAACAAGTCTTTCTCATAAGCTCTGTGTTATTCGAAGATGAAAGGAGAGGAGAGGAAAAGGAAGCCCAAAAAAAAGTATACTTGACAGATTAAACCTTGCCTCTTAGTTTCTGTTTTAATCCCTTACCTACCTCACTCTATGCAGCGAAGGGTTATTTTTGTCTTCGCTTTTTACTTTCTTCTCCTTTTCTTTTTTCCTTAATAAAACACTGTCACCACTATTATGTATAGACAAGAAGTAGCTCGTGTACAATTTTGAATTCAATTTTGTTTTTCTTTTTATTTTTCTTTTTGCTTTTCTTTTCTTTTCTTTTTTTTTTTTTAAAAAAAAATATATATTAAAGAGAAAACTGATCCCCAAAAAGGAAAAATAAATAAATAAACGCCAATCTTCCTTGTTTGGATATCGCCTGGATTTGATTTTTTTCCTCCTTCGCCTTCCCCTTAATGCTGGTTCTTTTGTCTAAAAATTCCATCTTTCCTGATCTCTTTTGTTTCCGCTAATGTGTCTTTTAAAATTTGACATCTCTTGATCTCCTTTGTCAAGCTTTCCTTTTCTTTCTGTATGATGGATGTGGTCGGTACTGTTATCCTTCTATCATAACGATCATGAGGAACAGCCTGCACCTTCTCATGGGGCTTCTGAGTTCCACAGCTGAGTTAGAATTAAAGAGAGAGAGAGAGAGAGATATGCGTGAAATCTTTTATTTTTTTCAAAGAAGTGAAAAAGCCAGTGAGGAAGTGGATATTTGCTTGAGTTGTATGTAATGTGTAGATTTATGGCTAAGCCAAGTTCCGTTGAATTGAATTGTATATGGCTATAACTATACAGAAATCAGAAATCAACGTGCAAAAAAACGGAACCCGGAATTTGGGAATCTCTTGGTGGTTTCTCATGTTTAGAGAAAAAGGGAATTTGGCGAGTTCTTCTGCATTTATGCTGTCCCCTCTCTTAATGAAAGGATTGGAAGCCCCAGGCGGTTTATAGAGGCCAGCGCCCCTAGCTTGCCCACTAGCTCATGCCTAAATCCCAGGTGGTCCTGGAGATTCAATACACTAATTAGGTAAATCCTTTAGTGTGAAATAAAACTTTTCGCGCGGTCTCCGGAGTTTGTGCGAAGTATAGTACAAGTTATTCAAATAATATCTATAATTAAATTCCTAACATAATAAGGTCCCTACGCATTGCATTCGACCTACTGAATCAATTGTCTGTTTTATGATGAGTATGGATTTATTGACTCACCGAGCCTCGTCCCATTCGTGCCACCCACACCCCTGTTATCGATAAGAACGACCATAAAAAAAGTTCAAAAACTCCCCTCTCCTTCACCAGCAGCCCAAGAATTGTTTCGGCCGCACCTCCATTCTTCTTATCTTAACGCTCCCTATCTTGCCACAATAAATTCGCGCCCATGGCACCAGAACCAGAAACATCGGTCTCAGCTTCCTGCAAAGTCGTGCTTGCGGCGAACGTTGCGCGGGGGCTTTTGGCGGAGGTCAATGAGGGGCGTCAGACTCTGAGTACGGCGCCGCACCTTGTGGGATTTTTGGCCAATTCAGACCCGGCTGCAAAGATGTATGCGGATTGGACCGAGAAGACTTGTAAAGACAAGTGAGCGGAGCCTTGTTTTCCCCTCCCGTTTCTCTTTTGTGGAGTGGTATATTGTATGCGTGCGCGAGATGCGCCTGACTTTTGCGATTGTGGTAGCTTCAATTCAGATACCATTGGGAATTTTGAAGAATCGCGTTATGAAAAATCATTCCTAATTGAAGTTTAATAAATAAATGTAAGAGTGAAAAGCCGCTAACCACCTGGCATTCTTAAATCTCTCCGTCAACAGCAACTTCCGCTACACCCTCCGCACCGTCTCGCGCGATGATATCGAAGATGCCATCCTCGTCGCAAACTCAGACCCAGACGTCGACGGCATAATTGTCTACTATCCCATTTTCAACAACAGACAAGACCAGTATCTCCAGCAAATCGTCGATATCTCCAAGGACGTTGAGGGCCTCAGCCACCGCTACATCTTCAACATGTACCAAAACATCCGCTTCCTCGACCCCCCCGAGAACAAGCAGAAATCCATCTTGCCCTGCACGCCACTCGCCGTCATCAAGATCCTCGAGTACCTACAAATCTACAACACTATCCTTCCCTACGGGAACAGGCTGTTTGGACATACGATATGTGTGGTCAATCGGTCTGAGGTTGTAGGAAGGCCTCTGGCGGCGTTGCTGGCGAATGACGGCGCATGTGTGTATAGTGTGGATGTCACGGGTGTACAACAGTTTACGCGTGGGGAGGGAATTCGGAAGAGACATCATGAGGTTATGGATATGGAGGGGGTGGGGGGGTTGGAAGATGCAGTGCCGCATTGTGATGTGTCATTAGTGGAGTGCCAGGGGATAAGTTTAAGTTTAATACGATGCTGTTGAGGCAAGGGGCTGTGTGTATTAATTTCTCGAGTGAGAAGGTGAGTAATAAATTTGTATTGGGGAGGGAGGGAGATGGTTGCTCGCGTGTCATTTTGAAGCCATTATGAGAACGCTGACGAAGGTGTTTATTTGTGCAGAATTTCGGACCAGAGGTGAAAGAGAAAGCATCCATATATGTCCCGGCCATTGGCAAGGTTACAATCGTTGTGTTGCTAAGAAACTTACTGGTAAGTTCTTTTCTATTTTTCCGCTTTTAGCGATAATGGACCTTCTTGAAATTTTCACTATATGTGTGTTAACTGCTTCAATCTTGTTGTATAGAGGATTGTCCAGAACCGCAGCCGTAATCGGGTCCAACCTGCAGATGCAGTTGAGAAGCCAGGCACTCTGGAGAGTGTCGTCACTCAGGCAGAGTAATGAAATGTTATCTCGTCAATCAACATTTATATTTATATGTATACATATATTCGCATCTATGGAACTTCCATGTTCTGCCATCCGGGATAAAATGGCGGGTACCTGGATGAGGGCGAAAGCCGGGGATTGTATATATCATAAAAACAACGACAAAGGTGAAAACCAAACGAAAATAGCCAAGGCAAGATGGCTTCATGGTATCCCTGAGTTTGACTTTGTGCAAGTTGAAGTCGGTACTGTTATATTTTATAGGTTCGGTTGGGTTAATCGGAGCCTTTGGATTTTGATTTCAATATCAGATCAGGGGATGTTGGATGGAATTGAAAGGGAGCATACCTTGGAACATTATTATCATAACTAGCACAATTATACTCATACGATGAATGAACCAAATGTTCTTCAGGAATTGTCATGATATGATTGATGTGTCTTGGATAAAAAGGAGACTACGGGTTAAAATTACGGTTCTTGGAATATGTGTACGTATTCATTATTTAGATTGAAGGCAACAAATGAAATGCCGCAGGAAAGGTAGGAATTATATATATATTTCTATAACGCACAATATCCCAGTAATAAACACCGTGGAGAGTATTTTTGTCAACCTCTTTATGCTCCAGCTACGAGCAGAACAAGAATCAGAACCTAAAAAAAAAAAAGAAAAAAAAGAATGCATAATGGAGCAACAAAATCCATAGGATATCAATTTACGCTCAAGTTTTCTGCCCTTCCTGTTTCAGTTTCCTCACCAAGGTAATTAGCTCAGAAATCTCATCATCTTACTACCTCGTAGCTGACTCTACTCCCTTCAATGCCTTGACCTCGCTACTAAGCCAATGTTTAAAGGGTTCGGGATGAAACATGCCATCCGCAGAAAACCATCTAGAAAAGGGCGCAGAAATTGTTGCATCTTGGAGAATAGCACCAGAGCTAGACGTATGTCTAATTCGCAGTGTATATAACGGCGAATGCTTTTTGGTTGACGAGCGGATGCGGAGCTGTTTGGGTACATTCATTAGTCACACTATGCTAGGCGCTTGACAAACACATATGTATATATATAAGCATAAACATAATAGAAGCTCACCTTCTCACCCCCATCCGTACCCCCTTCAAATACTTGGCCGGCTTCCACCAGCCATAACCAGATTGTAAATGCTATGTTGAGAATGAAGTACGAAATTACAGAGGCCATGGTCCACGACGTCGAAACCTCCCATTTCAGTCGACGATCGACGTAAAATAAGGCTCCTGCAATTGCTACGGCGACATAGCCTAAAGTTAGGCGGACGTTGGATTTGAAGTTGTCTGCAGTGAAACGGTGGGGTTTTGGCAGAGATATTAAGTATGGAGTTATAGCATCGTCGGTGGTGTTTTTGAGATCTGGAGCAAGTAGCATAGTATGTTAGGTTTGCTTTCATTATTTGCCTCTTCCGCTAGGGTTATATATGTTGAGTCTGTGGAGTGCAATGGAGGAAGGGGAGAGGATTGGTGTAATTCTTACCAGATAATGAGTAGACGGGAACCTTGGAGGAGGCCATTGGCGGTAATGGGAAGTGTGGGCGGTTGCGCTTAGATTTAGGTTGACAGATGCCAGTTCATAGAGTCATATCAGAAGTAATATCCTTATTTTATCCTCATTTAAGGGTTTGTGATATATGGGCAAGCTGTCCTTGGGTTGGATTGTCACGGTTGCACTAAGCCTAAAATAAC